AAATTACTACATTAACACCACAGAACTCTGCCATAATTTATCAAGCTTAGTAACTAAGATGTATTTTTGTCTAAAAAAATATGAAATTTTAGGCAGACTAAAGACACACCATACCTTATTGAAATATTGGTTCAAAAGAAAGAAATGGCACCAAAACTGTTAAAATGGCTGAGAAAGCTAATAGGGAGACATTCTGAGCTTCCAACTGGTTATTCATTTCATATATAGAAGTAAGTGTATATTAGGGAGCATTTCCAAAAATGGAAAGAGGTGGGCAAGGTGCCACAGTGTTTGATTTATTACATGAGCAATATCTTAGCAAACTGAAAAGATAAGAGGCTCTTATTGTATATACCAGCTTGTCAATATCAGTAATTTGAGTTTCTAATTCATACAAAACTATACTTAGTATTTTGACTTCAAAAACATCTAATCTGAACCAGTGCTGCATTTAACATACCAAGTGATACACAAAAATTGATGTTTATCTGTGTTTTTTTAATATTTACTATTAAATTAAGAAATTGAGTAGTATATAGTACTAAAATTTGAATTATAATCTACAGTTTGATACCAAAGTTTTTGACATAAATCCATGAAATAGTAGTTCAATAAAATTTTGAATGAGATTCAACAAACAAGATGACATAGCCTTTCACCTGTTATCCATCTCGAAACAGATAACAGTTTATTCATTAGTTCTTTGACAGAACCAGCTCTGAAACTTATGAATTTGTACTCTCATTTTGTAAGTGATAACAACAAAAAATTAAAAATCTATTTCCAAATTAGTAACAATATTTTCTATGTTTTAATGAAGACAGAAGTTGTTGTTTTTTAAATACAAAATAAGTAACCTTGCATGAATCCTGATTAAAAGTGTGTTGTGTTGAGTGAAAGTAATACATGGTTTTACATCTTCAAAACAGCTAATTGAAAAGTCTTCATACAGTACAAAATATTTTACACATGTAACATGTGTACATTAAGTAAATTACAAATAATTATATGCTTGTGAACGATATAATCCATTTAGATGTGTACTCTTTCACTTTTAGGAAAGTATTTTCAATATTAAAAATAATTTGCAACTCAAAATCCCAGCAATATATATATATATACTAAGGCTATATTAATTACAATATCATCAACATGTACACCTGAAGTTTGGCCATGATCATAAAGATTGCTGCCAAATGAATGAATCTTGATATAAAATTAACATGTATTATATTAGTGATTGCAAAAAGTTTTATTCTTTTTTGCAACCTTAATCTTAGTTCCTATATGGTCTTCCTGACTACAGGGTGTATGTTCAGGTTTGTAGACAGCTAATGTATTTTTATTTATGATTTTTAGTCATTTTTGTACTTTTGATCTCTTATTATTGACTATATTGAACTGATAATACCTGCATAATTACAAGTATATATTCAAATTTTGTGCACTAATGACTGGTGTTTTTGTTTTACAAGTAATGAAATACTTCATTTTTCTTGATACAGGTTTTATTAAAATTATTGGTTATGTTTAGAATAATTTGTTATATTTTTAATAATTTTTACATTTATGAAGATTATTCTGCATTATGGACTTACTATATTGATTTAGAACTAGCCTAAATTTAGTAAATCTCCTAAGCTGGCCAAACCTTGTGAGATATTGTTGGGAGTAAGAACAAATTTACTGTTACCAGCAATGATACTCACCTGATGAAAGAATAAATTCTAAAGTTTTAGTTGTATTTTTTGTTGATTTAAAACATTAAGTACTTCTAGTTGATTTGTTATAAAGATTAGGCTTTATTAACCTATAAGTTACTTTTCATCTATACAATTAGCTTATTTGTATTTTTGATTAGAAATTCTTTACAAGTGCTAAAAGTTACAAAATTCATCTTAAAACTCCAGTTTTTGTCCTGGACAACATTTAGCATAATATACTGAATAAGGACTTAGACTCTACTACATTACAAGAACAAAGACAGTCAGAATCTGTACAAAGCCAGGGAGGACAGCTAGATTTATTGTACACTGAACCCAAGTTGTCTACTGTACCTGGTGGTAACAGTTTTTTTAAACAGTTATTTCTAATATTATAAAATTACAATGAGTAATACCAATGAGGTAGTTACTATTAAAAGAAACGTTTTTTTTTGTTTTTTTTGCTGTATGTGATGTGCATGGATTTGTAACAGTCAACATAAAAGATAAAAAAGTATAATAATGATAAGAGACTTTGAACCCTGTGCTTTTAGTACTGGAATTCAAGATAACTGAAAAACTCATTTCATATAGCTAGTGATAGTACAACTATATATTATCCATGTTTAAAAGTGATCATCTAGTCCTGATAGCTCTATATTTTTCAGTCAAAATCTATTAAATTGTTTTGGTAACATTATTAAGAAATGCAATTATAACACACTTGCCAAGATGTTTATAATAAAATAAAAACTACCTTCAAAATATTAAAATTAACAGATGACAGATAGTAATTTACATGTATCATATCAAAGGTATAAAATTAACTTCACCTGAAAACCAAATTCTCCATTTTTTTAATTAAAATAACTGAATGTATTTTTATGTTAAAATTTCTCTTTTTTTTTTTTGCTGCAGACATTATTCTGTTACATTAAACTTCTGAACACATTTTAGCTTCTCTTGGATAACTGAAATATCATGCTTTATGTTTTCTTTTGTTATTCAAAATAATTTGAATATAAATAAATAATTATTTATATTATAAATATAATATTTTTATAAATAATTATTTCCAGTACAGGCTCGGTTCAATTGACCAAGCCCAAGAACACTGGGTTAATAATAGGATGATTCTATAACTTAAGTTATATACATGAACTGACACAACTGTGTACATAAATTGTGGACACCTTATTCCCAGCCTACTCAAATACTAAATAGTATACATAATGTGCAACTTGCTCTTATGAAGGAGTTGGTGTGTATTTAAAAAAAATAAAAAAAATAATAGGCATCCAGTGTTAGCTTAGTATTCTGTCACAGTTATATTGATTTTTTTAAAATATGGATTTAGACTTCTTTTTTTTTATCACTGGTACTGTACTATGGACATCAACTACCTTACCCATATGTCTTAAAATACCATAATTTCGTGTATAAACTATAATTATATACAAATACATATGACTATTTATATATATAATTATGAGTTTTATGATATTTATTAAGTTGTCCTTAAAGATTTATTTTATTGAATAATTTCTTTTATCATATTTCATGCATGTTTATCAATAATTTTGGTTAAGGAAACAAGGCTGAAGTTAGTATTAAGGAAGAAGTAATATTTTGCAATATGGTAAAACTTTAAAGATATTTCAGTTAGTTCAAATCCTTCAAAACAGTTTCTCTATCAGTTTATTTCTAGTTCTTCTTCATCCATTTCTAAATTCTAGTCCCTTTTACTTTTAGCCCTTTTGTTAATTATACTTTTAATACCTTCCTATCAACTCAAGTATGAAAATTAAAAACGCTCATGATTAATATAAATTATAATATTATTAATAATCTATATTCGTCCTAATCATAATGTCAACGTATAATAATAATATTAATAATCAATATAGTGAATGTAAATTTAACTGTAGAACTCAAGACTTGGGCTTTGGCAAAATATTTAAGGCCGAGTATTATGATTTCCCCGCTTAAGAATTATTTAATAAATATTATTATTATTTTACGAAATTGAAAGGAAGCCCAGTTTCTGAGGTTTATAAAGACTTGGGTCATTACCTTTGATCAGTAACTAAGTGCTCTGTTACTGTTACTTGTGTTAGACTAACATTTAAAAAGAATGCACGTATAAGTAACCTTGCCATTCAACATTCTACTTCTACATTTTCAATATGAAGTAGTTTAATTTACGTCAAATTTAACTTACCTTGGCAACACTAGTAAGATAGTATATAACAAACAATAACCCACATCCAACAGCCAAAGCTAAGCGAGGACTAGAAGAGTAAAACAACAAAGTGGATTCTACGAAGTCCATTGTTTAATAATACTTTATGAGGCGGATATATTACAGCGGCATTTCTGGACCAAATTACACAGACTGACTAGCTACAATCAGCATTCGTAACAGTACATATAGAATCGCCGATTTCTCCTTTCGACGACAGTAGTATTATGTAATATTTACATGCTTTGATTTCGAAGCTGCTACCCTCTGGTGATTAAGTAATGAAACAGCCTTTAATTTAAATTAATAAAGTAAGCTACCTCCAAAGATCAGAAGTAAAAATCAATCCAATTGTTGTTGGAAAGTTATTCTCTAGTTGAGCAGATTCTTTCAGTTTATTTGTTGAAAGTAATGCAAAGTCCAGTCTATGTAACAATAACAAAATAAGATTTTTTTCTTAATGTTTCTACACTTCACTTGTAGACCAAAGTTTACAGTTGACGTTTCAACTGAAATGAAAATATCTTGCTAATAGCACTACAGTTAATGTGCAAATAAAGCTGCTTGTACAATTTCATGTCTAATCGATCGAGTAACTGAATATACGGAATCATAGGTGGCGAATGAGTCTTTTATTCGTGTAGGCTTTTTTGTCACGTGTGGGGGTTACACAATTGGAAAGAATCAGTTCGTGCTCGTAAACGAACAGCCTTTGGACCATATAACAAACAATAACCCACATCCAACAGCCAAAGCTAAGCGAGGACTAGAAGAGTAAAACAACAAAGTGGATTCTACGAAGTCCATTGTTTAATAATACTTTATGAGGCGGATATATTACAGCGGCATTTCTGGACCAAATTACACAGACTGACTAGCTACAATCAGCATTCGTAACAGTACATATAGAATCGCCGAAAATTAAAAACGCTCATGATTAATACACATTATAATGTAGTTATAATGTAGTTTGTCACATTTTATTCTATGTTCACAAGAATTGTATAATATTTTTAAGTTTATGAGATTAATGATTTGTTAGGAACGGTTTATTTGGGGAGACCAAGTCTCGCCAGGCCTCTTTTATATGTCGTCTCTGTATGGGATAATTAATGCTGATCCAAATACTTCACTGAATAACTGGCAGTCTTCCAACTGAAAACTGAGTACTTGGCATTCAAACGCTGAGTATTTCAATTTGACAAATACTACTATAACACTCTACTAACTTGTAGTATTCATAATTGATGTCTCACTTGTAGATATTCGTATGAGTTACTATATTTGTGTGACGTTATCTAGAACACTGTAGGTATTCCAAAGCCTACTACCACAAACTTACTTGATCTTTCGCTGACATCCAAATTAAGACATTAGAAATATAGCTTACAACAATACGTTTAAGCTGCCTTGTGTGTGTAACATGCATGTTTACGTATGCTTATATATATATGTACCAGGGTATACGTATGTCTATACCGTATTAACTTTGGTTTCACTAGATAGAGACAGTAATCTAATTTATTCATGCACGTTCAATAATTAGAAGATACAACATTTGGATGTGGATACTGTGAGAATATGTGTCCACATTTTATACTTAGATTCACCATTCTTCTCTTACTTCTGAAGAAAATGGGTCCACCCGTTGATAGCATTAGGGTTTCATCGGGGTTATTTGAATGTGATATATAAGATGAAGATAACCAACTTTTGTATCTGCATCATATTTGTATGGGTTTATAAAAATAATCATAAATGTCACCCTTCCATAACTAACATGAAAGACGTCTTTATTTAGATATATTCACGTAACATTTTTCTGAGTTTTTTTTTTACAGTTTTGGCATGTAGTTAATTGTATTTCTGTTAATTGAATGTCTCAATATCATAAACATATGTTATCCTTTTACAGAAGTAAAGGCTACATACTACAACCTTCGGTTGTAACTTTCAAGCTAGCATATAAATGTTTCTGTACGAACTCCTTGGCAGGCAGCCTATTCAAACCCGGCAATACAAAAACATATACACCTGACTTGGCTTAAGATTGCGTCTAGATTATTGGTTGAAGTATACAACCTGTAGACTTTTGGGATACTTGATTTTCTTTGTTTCACTAGAGCATAAAAGCCAGATTTTTCCATAGTACTGTCTCTTGCACTTGGTTTTTCTCTTGAATTAAGCTCATCCCCAGCAGTCAGACGCTATAGAATAAGAAGCCCGTCCAGCTTAGGTAAAATAATGTGGTAGATTCAGGTCAAATTGATTATTGTAAATGCAATAGGATAGGTCCACTGAATAGCAGGATATTGGACAATATAACTATTGTGAAGTAATTCTGAGTTCTATAATTCTGACTGAGTTCGTTGGAACGAAACAATTACTAGATATAATGTAAACACAATGGGCAATCTTTAATAAGCCAAACACATAAACGCACTATGTACATTTGTTTAGATGCTGGATTACCACTTTAACTGGATCATCAATTAACTATCTTCCTTGAGGTCGTTTATCAAACTTTTACAGTCGAGAGTATATACCAGACTGTTTAAATCTAACGTTCCTTACTTAACAGGTGATGACGGATTTATCCAGAGCTACTAGAGTTACCCATATAACTGATTATTCTCATATTCAACCATATGGAAGATTGTAACCTGATCTACGATTGGTGGACATAGCTGTCTACATTCTTATGCAAAGTGAAGCATTACAGCCATACTTGGGTAGACTAAGTGTTATCTGTAGAGGATGACAAAGGAACAAAATTAATGACTTTCTTGAGCATGTATTATGTGAAAACTGTACATATGTAGAATAAATGATAAATGTAGAATGATACTATATTAAGATAAGAATGTATATTTATGAACCACAATAGCATTGTGTTTGTTTAATTTTTTGTATTTCACATTGTGCTTGTGTTTCCTTGTTTCCTTCTTTGTTAACAGTCGTGAGCCTGTATTTTGCTGGAATATATGGCTTTTCTGGTAGACATCAATGTACACGAATGCCACATGTGTACATGTTCGTATGTATACAGATACATTCAGTAATTTACAGAAAGAACGATTAGAAGAGGATCTACTTTTCAAACCACCCATGTTCTTTAAATTTTGCACCATATTATTGGTGTTCCGTGGCCAACTTTTCCAATATAGATGCAACAGTGTCTGCTTTGATTAAAGCTGAATCTCATTTTCGATGGACTGAAAATTATGATTAAGTCTTTCTATTGCTGAATTGTGATTTATATTAAGCTCCGACATTAGCCTATTCTACAGAGACTGGATAATCACATTAAGACTATTTTGAATATGTAAATCAGCAAGTTACGTGATAACCACAACTACAGTGGTATGACATGATTAGAAGTACATTTTGATATTGCTTGGCATTATATAGGTAGTGTTACAACCGAAGATTGTTCGCTTTTGGGAAGGGTATAAAACAGCCCTTTTCGACACAAAATATCACGTGCTCATATCAGGGATTTAGAATTTCTAAGATGGGAATATCCCTTGTACGTAGTGGCATTGGAAAACAAAGCTTTCCAAGTTTGTGGCACCAGATCATGTAGAAAGGGAAATGCAACAAGCATGGTAAACAAATAGTTATGTCTTGTAACAGGTATGAACTCATGAACACAAATATCAGTGGCAAAAGCCGTCCACGTATCCCATGCGACATAATCAAGAAATATTTCCACCTGTAAATAAGGCCAATAGGGTATGGGTTCATCAAGATAAAACTTCCAGTTATTCTTCTCATTCTACCATCACATACTTCAAGCAGCTAGAGAATGAAATGGATACTCATGATATTCCATATGAAGGCATTGTGTTCAAGTTGCGGGAGACACTGTTTATGGATTTCTGTGCATTTGGACTGTTGAAGCTGGCACTGGAGAATCATTGTCCTTGTACATTAGATCAGTGTTTCTCAATCTTTTTTTTGCTCGTGGCTCCCTTTTGAGTTTGATTTATCTCTGTGGCCCCACCCTTCGTAGACGCTGTTACTTAGGAAAAAAGTTACTTTATTTCCACACTGTTGTATTGCTTTTAAATATTTTGTTTATAACATACTGTTTACTTATACAAGTAAAAAATATTCTATTAACTTACATTGAAATTTTATTCAGTGTGATCCTTGGGCCTGATGAACACTTGAAAGTTTTTGAATGTTCGGTTGCAGTGTGGTCAGTGATAAACGAAGATCACCTCTCTTCACAACACAAAGGCGGTTACGTATTTTTGATAGTAAATAAGTCACCCGACTAAAACCAGATTCAACCAGATAAGATGTGGGAAAAGCCATAAAATACAACTTTGTCTTCTCCCAGAGCTGTGGAAACTTATTAGCTATTTCACTATTTATCCAGAAATAATGTTTGTCACGTTTTGATCTAACTTGGACTGTTATATCACTCTGCTGCTCTTGAGAATCAGTCGAAAACATTCACAGATACCAGACAAACATTTTTATTGTACACTCGGTACTAGTCGCGTCTGGTAACTTGACTTCTGAGCTGTGGGGGAGGGGATGTAGGGAGAAGGGAGCCTTTGATTCAGTTTTAAATTTTAAATATTTTATTCGGGCAGTGAAGTTTCGGTGGCCCACTCAGAATTTACTGTGGCCCCTAATTTTCCTTCATTCACGTGTGGCCCTTTAGAAACATGGCGTGGCCCCTGAGGGGCCATATGGCCCACGTTGAGAACCACTGCATTAGATGGATTACAGAAAGCATTAATGGAGGAGCTGTGTGCTTGGGATATAACAGCATTGGGACATTTTTTTAATGGAACTTTTGCTGCATGGCTATTGTCAAGGTACACCTCCATAAGATAGACCATGACTGGATGTGTTAACATTGACTGTAATGACATGATGAGGTTGGAAATTTGTTTTAATATAATTCATTCAATCCACTGTAATAAGGATTAGTCATTTTCCCCAGAAACTGAAGGTGGTGACAATGAGATCAGAGCAATGTTTTTAAAAGCGTAGGACGATGTAGAGCATGTTATTGCATACACTAGTCATACTTTAAAATTTCCTGGATGCCAGTATTGCACATAAAAATAAAGAATTGCTTGCAGTTGTGGTAATTATCAAACACTACTACCACTATTTGTGAACCATTATTTGAGTGATCCGTGTGCAACTGAAATAGTTTGTGTACTTTAAAAACACGGAAGATATTATTGCAACTTTTC